CTGATTTATATGGAGGCCTCTTTCTGAGGTCGACCAACTTGGGGGATGCCCCTCGAAAAAAGGCAATGTCTTTGCCGCTACTCATTGTGGTTGAGTTAGAGAGGCTTGTGGTTTCAGTTTTTGCTCCAGTTGGGGATCGTTGCATCGCTGGAGCTTGCTTGATTTGCGTGTGGGGCAGTCTTCGTTTTGCAGATGCACAGCATGTAGAATGGTCTTCATTGGTGAGCGATGATGTTGCTTTACGAGGAATCTGCTCGAGATCCAAAACCAACCACCGGGGCTCAGCCTTTGGGGTGCTTTCTGTGGGGCTCTTGACCCCAGTGTTTTCTCTTTCGCAGTCTTGGACATGCAAGCTCATGCTGCCTTTGGAAGGAGTTCGTTCTCGCATTGCTTCTGAGTCAGGCCTTGGTGATCTCTCCGTTCCCGATGCTTTGGTTCTCCATAGCGACACTTCAGGCAACTATGCTGTCCATCATGAACCAGCTTTTGCTTTCCAAGGACGAGCCCTTCAGGGCCATCACAAAATGGACTCGTTGCTTTATACGGTCGTGATGATGTATGGCTCCCCCTTGCAGATCAGAGAGTGGTTAGACGAGCCTTGCTTTCAGGTTGGCGACTTAGTCGTCCTCAACATCGTGGTGGGCAATGCCCAGCTTCCGAGCCGGGGGTCGAGCTCGTTTCTTTACAGGACATGGGGGATTTCACAGCTCAAGCTGATCTTCCAGTTGCTTCCCAGTCAGTTACAGCTTCGCCGATGCTAGGACCCGATGCTTTACCCCCATGTCAACCTGCTTCTTCAGGTGATGTGATGCCTGCTGAGTCTGGGACTCCGAAGCCTTTCTTCTACCAGTCGGGAGCCCTCGCCGGATTCGAGCTTAGGTGAGGCAGATGAGGTTGAGTTTTTGCTCTCAAAGACAGGCATTGGCTAAGTCAGCTTCTTTTGCTGGCCGATATAGATCGGCTTAAGGCATTTGGTCCAGTAATTTTTGCTTTGATTTCCGAGCTTCCACCCGATGTGTCCTTTTGTCGACATAAAGCTTGTCAGGGGGCTTTGTCTTGAGCACAATGATGCAACTGCTTTGAGCTTGAAAATGCAGCGACCATTTGGTCGCTTAACAGCTTTGCTTAGCTGCTTTGGCAATTGACTTGCGAGTCTTTTCGCCAGCTTGAGTCTTGCGGGCTCATTTTGCTTACAGCCTTGCTTGGCTAGCTTTCGCTGCTTCCAACGGCTTTGCTTAGCTGCTTTGGCAATTGACTTGCGAGTCTTTTCGCCAGCTTGAGTCTTGCTGGCTCATTTTGCTTACAGCCTTGCGTGGCTAGCTTTCGCTTCTTCAACAGCTTTGCTTAGCTGCTTTTGCAATTGACTTGCGAGTCTTTTCGCCAGCTGAGTCTTGCGGGCTCATTTTGCTTTCAGCCTTGCTTGGCTAGCTTTCGCTGCTTCCATTTGGGGGAAGCTATTGCTCATCTTCGTCAGGAGCTCAGTGTGCTTTACTTCGCTTTCAATTTTGGGCATGTCCCATCGCTTCCGTTGCCTTCGTGCTTTTAGCTTTGCAGACTTGTTGTCCTTGTCTTCTCACGCTCCTGTTGCGACCTGATGCTTTGGCCGAAAGCGATTCGGTTTTTCGGTCTTCTTGTTCAGGGATTGGTCTTCATGCTTGTTGGCTCGCTTCAGCTTACCGTTACCAGCTTGTTCTGGCGAAATCTTTGGTTTGTTTTGCTAGAGCTGAGAGTCAGGCTTGTTCTGCTTCTCCCACAGCCTCATGTGATGACTCGGTTTGGCAGCTTCGTTTTCATCTGTCAGCCTTATGGATGTTATGAACATGCCGACTGATTTTATTGAGCTGGTAGTTTTGTTTTTGGTCTGGGTCGGGCGTCGTTTGCTCGTACTAACTGGCTCTGCCTGATGGGCCGCGTGCGTGCTTGGCTCTGGGCTTTCGGTATGCATAGATTCGTCATGCTTTTGACTGTCCATGCATTGGACGATTTCGCTCTGCCTTTTTATGGGCTGGCTGCCCTCTGCTCGCTCTGCCCCTCTGGGCATATGCACGGACAAAAGTCGTGTTGCTTGTCACTGTCCACGCTTTGGACAACTTTACCATTGCTCCTTTGGTTGGGGTGCTCTGCCCCCCGGGCTGCTTGATGCTCTGCCCCCTTGGGCCCAGAGCATTGCTGCTTTCCACCCTCTACGCTTGCTCTCGCTTTGACCTCTGGGCATCATGCGTGCGTGCGTGCTTTACGTGCTGTGGTCTGCTACCCGCGCTTTCTACAACATTGCGTTGTTTCTGTCATGAAAATGCTCGGTCCTTTGGGTCGCTTGCTCGCTCTGCCCTCTGGGCCCCGTGCTTGCGCGAAGCATTCGCTGCTTGTTTTGTCCACGCGTTGGGCAGCGTTCTTTGCCCTTTGTTGGGCTTGCTCTGCCCTCTGGGCCGCTAGTTTGCTCTGCCCTCTGGGCCTCCTACATGCTCGAAGCATCCCCTGCTTCTGTTTAGTCCACGCTTCGGTTGTGTTGTGTCTGCCCGTCTGGGCTCGCTCCGCCCACTGGGTCGCTTGCATGCTCCTCCGGGCCTCGTACATGCTGGCACATTGTTGAACTGCTTTGCTGTGTCCCTTGTTGGGCTCGTCTGGGCTCGGAAGCATCATTTTGGGCTTTCGCTGTCACTCTAGACTCTCTAGACAACTAATTTGGCTACACGGTTTATTCCGGGAAGCACTCTTCTGCCCCCTTACAACTTGCGGAGGCTTGCTCTGCCCGCTGGGCCGCTTTCTCGCTCTGCCCGCGGGGCCACTTTTGTGCTATATTGGGGCTGCGTTGCACGTTCGTTACGCTTACACTTGTTCGAACGTGCTCGGCTGACGGGGCTAATTTACGATTTTAGATTCGGGCAATTGCTTGAAGTGGCTGCGAGCATTGGCCCCGAAGTGGTTGGGGCCAACACATGCTTGAAAACATCCCTGTGCTTCTTGCAAGGCTACCATGCTGTCCATCATGAACCAGCTTTTGCTTTCCAAAGATCTTCGAGCTCTTCAAGGGCATCATAAAATGGACTCTGTTGCTTTGTGTGGCCGAGATGATGTTTGGCTGCCTTTGGCAGGTCAACGAATAGTTCGGAAAGCATTGCTTTCCGGGCGGCGGCCTGGTCGCCCTCAGTATCGGGGAGGTCAGTGCCCAGTTTCGGAACCTGGGGTTGCTTTAGCCTCATTGCAAGAAATGGGGGACTTCGCAGCACAAGCCGAGCTTCACATTGCTCATCACGCAGTGGCCTCCCCATCTGTGTCAAATCCCCAAGCCCATGCGTTCGAATGAGCCTGTTTCTTCAGGACCAGTGGCGCCTGACAAGGCTGAGACCCCAGACCAGGCTGATATGACTCGGGAGGTTTCGTCCAGTTTGGGGGATGCTGAAGAGTTCGAGAAGACGGGCATGGTACATGTACAGGCCCCGTCAGCGTCCGCCGATACAAGTCAGCTTGCGGTATCTGGCCTAGCAATTTTGCTTTAGTTACAGATCTTCCGACTGAGGTTTCGTTTTGCCGACATAAGGCATGTCAGGGGGCTTTGTCTCGGGCCCAGTGATGCTTCGAATTGGAAGAGAAAATCGGGAAGCTCATTTTGTGCTTTGCTTTTCCCATTGTTGCTTCAGCTCAGACAAATTTCATGTTTTACTTGCATGGCTTCCCCAGCTTTGGCGATCTTGACTTGCGTGTCAAGTGCCAGTTGCGTCTTGCGGGCTCCTTTTTCGCTTGCGCCAGCCTTGCGTTGGCTCATTACGCTTTTCCCCCTTTTTGCGTGGGAAGGGTGACATCGGGATCTCAGAGTGTTTGCTTTCGTGCCTTTAGCTTTGCAGACTTGGTGTCGCTTGCAGCGATGTTCGAGCTTTATGCCGGTATTTTTCGGCTTCGCTTTCAGCTGCTTCCCCGCTTTTCCCATTGCTTTTGGAACATGTCCTCCGCCGAAGCTGCTTTAGCTTCAGCTTTGCTTGCCATGATTGAGGACAGGGGATAAACGGTCAATTTGCAGGCTCCGACTCCTCAAGCTGGAGGAGGTGACTCGTCCCAAGCGGCTGGTTCAGCAGACCAGGTATTCTGCTTTTCTGCAGGAGTGCTTCGGCATTGGTCTGCTTTGGTGGAACTACGGGCGATGCTTTGGACCCATCGGGGGGGAGGTGACTCCAAAGTGCTTTGGGCACGGGTGATACGAGTACTGCTCCGGCTTCTTTGTCTACCACTACTGCTGATCCGAAAGCTCCCCCACCTTCTCCCCCAGCTGGAGATGTCGTGCCCGACCCAGTGTTTGAAGGTCGTTATCTTTGCAGGGGCACATGTGAGGTATGCCACACTGCTTTCTGTGGGTTTAGCTCACCGTTTTTCGATAAAGCTAAGCGACATGCCCAGCATCGATGCCAGCACTGTTGGCATCTTTTCAAGGCCACTTTGCGATAAGGGCTTGTGCGCTTTACAGCTCATGCTTTGGGATATGTTTCCCTAATTTGCTTTGAGCCGCTGTTTTCCGAGCAACTTGGTTGCTTAGCGACGAAGGCTCCTCATGTTCGCAATGCAAACAACTTGCTTGAGGGTGTGCTTGCTTTCTCAGCCTTCATGTTCTTTTCATGTTCTTATCCTTGCTGAGCAATTACCCACACTCTAACTTGTCTCGCCCGGGTGATGGCCGGTGTGGAGAGTGATGATTCCTTCTTGGCGACAATCGTCGAGGCCGAGGTTCCACAGGAAGTTGCTGAGCATTTGGTCACTTCAGGCTGGCTCGGGCTCCGTGGTCTGGGGATAGTCGTCCAACCAGAAGTGGCTAGAAGTCAGGATGGCGTTGCGGTTCGGGAGATTGATGGGCAAGGGCTCGCCCACCGGTTAACGGTGTGGGTCATGCCCGCCGGTTGGCCAGCCACTCGTTGAAGGCACGAGCATCGATCAATTGCTTCTGCCGCTTGTAGAGCAGCGGCAAGTTGTAGCTGGGGTATTGCTTGTGGACGCTCCGGAAAGGGCATCATCTTTTAGATGTCCATGGAATTGCGGAGAAGGAGCTCGTGGAAGCGGTCGGCGCAGGAGAGCTGCCGGGCCTGGCGGGCCTTCGAGGGCGTCATTCGGACAGGCTGCTTGCAGTGCTTCTTGAGGAGCCTCGGGCGGCGGGTCGGGGGCTGCCAGCGCAGGTGTTTCGGCCACCACCGGCTGCGCGGGCTCGGGGGCCACGGCAGGTTGGGCCACGGCAGGCTCGGAGGCCACAGGAGCGGGTGCATCCTCAGCCATTTTTTTGCAAGAACTATTTTTTTATCGTTCGGTGTCCAAGAAGATCAGGAAGGCCCCTCGTGTTCACCACATTACCCTCGTAATCCGTGAGCTTGAAGCGCAGGTGCCTCAGCGTGACGGGGCCGCGCAGGTTCACACAAGGGCCCTCCGAAGTACCGGTTTCCATGATATGGCCCACACCCTTGGACACTACCATCTTGCGCAAGATGTCGTGGCGCAGTGGGCCGACCGTGGTTTCCCCGTTGGCCAGCGAGGGGCAGCGCAAGTACAGCTCGGAGTACACATTCATCTGGACGAAGACGAAGCGCTGCACGGAGATCGTGAGGTAGCTGGCGCCCAAGAGATGATTAATGGACAGGGGCTTGCTGGGCGAGGCGCCCGGCGAGTAGGGGCCCGTGCCGGGGAACGCTGCCGGAGCTCGGCGTCGTTCAGGATCAAGCGCACGCCATCGTAGGTCACGTCGAGTTCATTTGTCTCGGCCGTGTACGTGGCTGCGGCGAAGTTGGAGGAGATCCATGCCGCCAGCCTCGGCCCCGTGTATGCACCGACAGGTAGCTCGGCGTAGTGCAGGGTGCCAGCGACCTCGTCCTCCCAATACAGAAAGGTCCCGCGGTCCGTGCTGAAAAGCGTCGGCGATCTCGAGAGCATAGCTGTT